CATGTGTACCGACGCACAGTAGAACGCGCGCAAAAGTAGCTGCGGTGCACCTGCAGCCTCGCGCTTGTTCTCACATCTCTGGCTCGCTCACTGCGGGCATCTAGGCATCTGACACCCTGACATCTGGCGCTTTTTCTGTCTTTCACGTGGCGCTCCAAGCGGCACACGACGGAAAATGCACATCAAGCTGTTCTTAAACACGTGTCGCCATCTGTACTTTATGTTAAAAACTACAATTCGCCGTAACTGAAAGGGAAAAGTTTGAGGTCTTATAACATTCTTCACGTGTAATATATCGATATGGAAGTTCTGGAAAATGTAATATCGAAGGATGCTTCATAATTTAATGTCTCGTTATTTTGATTAGTTGACGTGATTCCGTTTTTATAGCGCCATGAAATATTACAATTTTAAACTTTATTTTTTATTTTAAAATATACTTTATCTGTACAGTTTGTTGCTTACTTTTTATTTTATTACATCTAACTGAACGCTCACGTAAAATATCGTGAACGATGGGACGTTATAACTCTAGAAATATTTTTTTCAATATTAGAGACTGTGTTCTATTAAACTCCAAATAGTTAACTAACAACTAAAAATAATCGTTATATCAAGACATTAAAGCATTGTTGAGAAACTGCTTTTTAATTTGACACTTACTTTATAATGGTAAGATACATAGAAAGAAAGTTATAAGCCGTCAAAAAAGCATGAAAGCGTCATGCACGGTGGGGTTGCACCTTTAAGGAGGGTGATTTTGCTCCACTGGTTTTTAATTTGTTCGATTGTTTTAGGGCCGGGCACTGTCATTGCTTTCAGCAGAGGAATCAATGGATCCTTCATGACGCAAAAAGTGTTTGCGACCGATAAAAGTGATGTCTTCTGGAGAACTGTGATGTTGTCGGGAAGTCGCTGTTTGATGTGACCTACTAGCATGGTAATAAACCTTATGCAGCTTTCTCGCATCACAGCTTCATCTGGTAGACAGAACCGGTCGGTCTTCTCAGCCTTCATGTTGTCAACGTACGCCTCAAACAGGTAGCCCAGATAAGGCTTGGGTTTTAAGTGGTCGTCAAGTCTGTACGTCAGAAAGTCCATCTGCTCTGTCGGAATCACGACTTTTTGAACAAAGCTCGAAAGCAAAGTCATGAGGTCTTTTAGCAGCCGTGTTTGATCTACATCTTTCGCCTCGAATGCCTTGTTAACCTTCCGAACATCTGTCAAAATCGGTCTAAAAAAAAGCAAGAACCCCAGGTTAATCTGGTTTTTGTACATACAATGCAGCACCTCTGCCACATGGCACTTTTCAGTGCGCCTCGCCATCTCGAAGTGCGTCTTCAATTCGGTCCACTGGTCTACGATCCTTGATAAAGCTATTGCGAGGAATAGCCGCCGGGTCCTACATGCTTGCACACTCTGTTCATCGCCGTCATTCATCAGACCGTAGAGCTTCTTGTACTCAAGGTGCCGGGCAGGGGATCTTGCGAACCAGTTGTACGTTTCGCTTATTAGGTATTCCATATTTCTTGGCAATGCTTCCGCCGTAGCAGCCGACGTGAGTAGCTGCAAACAGTGGCAGACGCAGCGTATCAGTACGAGGCGGGGAGCCTCAACTTTCAACTTCCGACGAACGCCATTATTGACCCCTGTCATAACGCTCGCGTTGTCTGTCCCTATGCCTCTCATCCTTTCCAGTTTAAGACAGTACTCCAATCCTTTCCAGTTTAAGACAGTACTCCATCAGAGCGGATTTCACGGCCGCCACAGTTCCATCTGCCATGTACACTTCCAAGGCGCACAAGTCAAGAAATGTGGTCACGATCGCGGACTTTGTGACACTGACGTCGGTCGACTCATCAATGATCAAGCTGTAATAGCTGTCCCCAGTGTACTGTGCCAGATCCGCCTTGAAATGTGGGCCAAGAAAAGAAAAACAAATCACGGATTTGTTTGTCTGAGACGGACGCAGCAAGTGACCAGGAGCTCTCCTACCCTGCTGAAGTTAAACAATTTCTGCATTTTTAGAGGACACGGAAATTGTTTTTCGCAGGACGATTTTGAATCGGTGCACTGCGTGAGGCATCCGCCAGAAATCTGGTATATATGAAAATGACCCGTCGAAAAATCCGCTAGCCGCTAGACTAGGTCTTTCCCCGTCCGAAAAAAAAAGCCGCCAGATTTAGAGGAAAATCTGATAAATTGGCATCACTGGGTACGCCTCACACGTGTTCTGAAGCACGTTTGCTTCATGCACATGTGCGCTTCGAACGCGTCTGCAGAGGGCTTTTGTCCGACTAATGTTAAGGGATCCCTACAAGGAAGAATAGATTTTGAATGGATGGATGTTAAAGGAGCTGTGCAATGATTTTAACGTTGTCATAATTTTCATCTTCTACTTTTGGCATTGTTTATCTTGTCACAAAGGACAGAAAACACATACCTTTCCTTCGAAATGTTGCGATTCCGCTGCGTAATCGCGAGGCAAAAATTAGAATATTTCCCGACCTGCAGCCGTGAGCGGCAGTCATGAGAACCACGCGGCATGACATCAATAGGGGACTTGCAAAAAGATAGGAACTTGTGCAAATACCTCCTCGATTAAAGATAATTTGTTTATAAATCTTCTAGTTCTAACATAATTATAATGCGTAAAAAATATGGTACCATGGACAAAACTTTTATTATGCGGAGTTTTAGTGACGCCATCTATCCGAAGTCAACAAAACTGACAGCTCTATCTGCTACGGCGAACAGCCGCCACAAGCCGGAGGGGGACGGGGGCAGAGCCGGACGGGGATGGCCGGACCCGGACGAGACGTTCCTCCTCTCGCCATGTTCAACGCGCTGCGCAAGCACGTGGTCACGTGGTCGCGAGCGGATGAGTTCTCGCTGCTCACTAATATGGCTTTAGAAAGAGAGCTTCACCAGAACCCCGCGCGTCGCCCATTCACGTCACAGCGCACGAGACTTGGAAGATGGTGAAGGAGTTGAGAGGTGTCAAAAAACCTCAATCTTTGTTAATTTTTATAATAAAAACTAGGACATGCAGGCAAAAACGTTTTTTTTTGTTATTTACTTCAGATAGCTTGAGACACCAACTCCGAAATTATTTAAGCAAAGCGCTGAAATTGTTGCACAGCTCCTTTATTGGGTATCGGAGTGCAAATTCGTCTGCCTCTTGCACAGGGACTGCGATGATATAAGAACGCCGAGCTCTTATCGGCTGATCGAAACAGATAGAGGGTAGCCCTCAAGGTGTCTAGCATTCATGTCTATCCGCTATTCTTTCAATGAGAGCCAGTAAGAACTGGGCGTCGTTCTGTGTCACCGGAACTCCTGCTCAAGAAGCAGACGACTTGCTCTCCGCATACCCTTTGTAACGGCGGTAGCTTGCGCCACCTAGCCCAAGTCTAAAACGACACACGCCTCGGGGACAGTGTATGCAGACTGTCCTTTCCGTGATGTATTATAACAGTTTGACTGCTGCTTAAGGTACAAAAACATTGGGCCGTCTCTTGATAACCTTTGCTTCTCTGCCATTTTTAGGACCACGTGGTCGTTCTTTCGTAATATTTGCTCAGCAAATTGCCGGTGGCAGACGGTAAAACAAAGGAGGAGCAAGATACCGACATACGGTCACGTAAAGCCACGAGTCACGCTGCTAATGCATCTTATGAAAACACCGTCTGCAGGCACCCTCCGCAACGTGCTTCTTCCTTTTGTTTGACGGACATGTCACATTGCTCATACAAGAACATTTTGAAGACGTCCCTACTGAAAAAAAAATGAGATGAATCTATATAACACTAAAATAAAATATCCAATAGCTGATATGCGACTTATGAAACTGATATGAACCGATATGTGACATATGAAACTGATATGAAATACCCAAAAACTGATATGTGACATATGAGAACGGATGTGCAACATATATCAACTGATATGCAACATGAAAGTTCATATGTGATTTAAATGATAACTTATATGACTTTCACATCAGAATTTGCAATGCGTTCAATAAACATATCAGAAATACATTCATATAACTTCTTTTTCAGTATACGACGTGCCGTGTGGCAAGCAAACACGTAGCTTGGAACCGCAATGGAGCGGCTTGATTTCTTGGCTTTCAAATAACTACGGCATGAGCGTTTACTTTTTACTAGGAGATTCATCCCCTGAGCTGTTAAAAATACTCTGAGAGGTATGACATTACTGAACATTAATCAACATGTTGGGAATATTATTTATTACTTAGGTGGTCTTTGAGAAAATACGCACCTTCAAAACGACCAGTATAAAAGGCGGGAACGCAGAGCACATAAGTAGTTATCGGGTGTGCTGTTGAATTCATGGTTGTTGGGCCGTATATGTGTATTGCTCAATGTATATGTTCAGCTGGTGGTATGCGGAATGTATCTACATGGTGGCTTGAGCAAGTAAAAATATTTTTGCAGCACATGGAATTCGGTGATATCTAGCGCCACCTAGCCTAGCTGAAACTGATATGTGACATATGAAACTGATATCAAATAATAAGTTTTGATATGAGCAAAGTGTCCAAAAAACACATGAGAAATAAATTTATAGAACTTCTTTTCAGTAGGGGGCCCAATATCCCCAAAGATTTTAGATTGTCAATCACTGATGCACAGCTTACCTGCCTTGCACAATATAATAAAGAATATGTTTCACTTAAAATAAAACATAGAAAACCTTCATTAACTTGTTTCCAAAGCCGTTAAAAGAGCAATCGCTGTCGTGGAAACCTGGATAACGCAGCCTCCTGTTTCTGCGAGTGACTCAACCTCCAAGCATATGTAATTCTGTGTTATTTTCAAGAGATAACACAAAAGAGGGCGACTTATCGCTAAGATATCCTACCCTCGCGTCCTCTTAGGGCAGCCTTTGAAAAAAACAAGATGTGCAGCCAGGAAACTAGGAGGAGGGTCAACGGCCCAAGATTGTGCAAGAGAAAGCTGATAGGAGTTGGACTGGATGCGCTCAGGGTGAGATCACGGTTACAGGCTGGTTAGAAGACGGTAGAAAAGAAGACAGGAACACTCTGGCCACACCGCTTGTTGAGGGTGAGTTGGGGGCGAGAGAACAGCTGTCGTCCACGCTGCCAGTGCTACTTCGCATGCTGGTAGTCACACACGGTCACCACTTCGTCAAAGAACGGTAGGTCCGACCTTTAGAGTGCTTTGGAAAACACGAGTGCGCACTGTGCCCGTTGGAGACTGCTCGGGAGAGCTTATGATGAAGATTAGCTGTCAACACTTGTCTGCTTACCACTATGTATTTTTCTGTATTGCTCTAAACACATTTACCTTTATTAAACATTATTCTGCCTCCATCCCCTGCCTTTCCAGCTCTCCCCTCCTTCCTCCTCCCCCTCTCCCCCCCCCTCCCCCCGCCCCCCCCCCCCCCCCGGTGCTTGGGGATCCGACGATGCTTGGGAAACCTCCATCGATGGATGCTAACGGATGTACCCTTTCTAACGGGTGGTTGCTTGCGCCACCTAGTATAGAAACCAAAGGTATGACTTTTTCTCCCCGCCAATATTTCCCCCCTCTGTCTCTTTGTATAACTATCATCAGACGGTGTGGGATAGTGCCAAAATGACCTTCAAATAATCGACCAGAAAATGAAAGACGTTTACAACACCCTGTAACGCTAAATTAGAGCGCAGCATTTGAGGAGGAGAAGGAAAGGGTACAAAGGGGAGAGTATACCCCTCCTCCCTCGTCCTCAACTCCTCCCCTCCTCCCTCCTCTTCCTACTCCTCGTCCAATCTCTTCTCGACCTCCTCCCCTCCTCCTCCTCCTTCCCCTCCTCCTCCTGCCCTCCTCTCCTCCTCCTTTCGCCCCCCCTACTTCTCTCCTCGTCGTCCCTCATCCTCCCCTCTGCCCTTCTCTTTCCCCCGGACTGTGTTGACAGTACGTTTGGAGAGAGCCGTGGACCTCCGGCCAAGTTTGATGATTACCGGGATGTTGTCGGTGCCCCATGTGTCGTCGAGCACCGCCCATGTGCATCGCGTCTTGGCGAATACCACGTTGCGTCTAGCGACGTACAGTCCTGACCCTGATTATCAGCCCGACGGGTCACCGCGTCAGGCGGATTGGCAAGAAGGAGGCCGGCCGTGAGTGCGTTATCTGCGATGCAGTGGCCGCGTCCAGTATTTGATTTCGACCCCCACGACGCGTGATGTGCATTGAAGTTTTTAATTGGTAGATTCCACGAAAAACACAGTAGGGAAATTTTTGAAGCTTTTAGTATACTCCGCCTAGGCGAGCGTTGTGTCAGTCAACCTTCTGTGGCATTAACCAACTAAGAAATCGCCTTTTTACAATCAGATGAGCGTGGATGATTGTGTGTGTCTTTCGCGTGCTCGGGTGCCCCCGTGCCAGTGTTGCCTTGGCTCGAGATTATACAGCGGGCTGTTATTTTTTCTTCCTTCAATACATCAAGTTGTGAATTTGCACTTGTCCCTTCTCTCTTCCCTCTCCCCTGTTCCTTTCTATTTGTGCGCAATTTAACCATTTTTAACCTTTACCTATAATTTACTGTTTATAGATGGTTTATTATCACTACCTATACTGTGTGTCCATACATTCAGACTAGGACCAATTCGCCTCTTCAAAGTCATCAGCATTCCAACCCGACATCGTTTCATGACCCCTTGTTTTACTGACTCTTTTTTCAATTTATTTATTTGCTCCCATCTTAAATATGGGGATTTGAACAATGAAGCAAAACATACAACAAATTAATCTTGGTGGTATTTATACTTCGTTTCAGCTTCGGTCCAGACGCAGCCGATGCTACTATCGCGAGCATGTGGCCCAGAACAGTGCTTGCACTCCACGAGCGCGCGTGCTTGGCAGGGATGCTGAAAGTCCGGAGCTCGCGCTTGTAGCCTTGGCTGCGTCTGGACCGAAGCTGAAACGAAGTATAGGGCTCAAACCGCATCGTCCAACCTCTGCTAATAACTGAACTCTCGTGTCCCAAACTAACAGACTTCTGCATACAAATAATACAAGAAATAATTAAGACTGAGTATGATTGTAATATAGCAACCACTGTCATTTTGGGCACATTCACGAGCATCTCTCATGAAGATCAAGGAGGTATTTTCAAACTCCTCTCCTACATGCTGCCTGTTTAAAGGGTAAAATGTTTCAATTAGTTTTGAAAATGGCGTTGTTTCTTCTAAGTCCAGTAATTTAGAACTTCGCAGCCATTTAAACATATTAGTCTAAGCCAGGGGTGGCCAGGCTGACCTGGCCTAAGAGCAGCAAACACTGCTGCTGCAACAAAACTGCTGCTCGGCTCATTCGATATACCCCAAACCTCAGGGCACGGTGTCTTTTCTAAGATTTGTGAGGTTTTTGGTCGAATCAGCTCTCAGGGCGACCACGTCATGAACATCTTACTAATTGGTGACTTCAACTTACATATCAAATAAAACTCCGGGGACCCGACGGCAACTAATGAGACAAGGCAAAGTTATTGGACTGGATGCACTATACGACCCTGACGTAGGCTGTCCGCTTCCAAACACACATTCATGGCGACGACCTGAATCATACCGTAGATCTTATGGTTTGCCGAAACCCGGCTCAATTACAATCGGTATTGGATTCACCACCCATATGAAACTCCGACCACATCGGGTCTCATCTGTGTGGAAACCTTGGTTGTACAGGGAAACATTTCGTCTCGAAGCAGGTTCTTTTGTTCAACAGGGACGGACATGAAACTCTGGAACACTTGGTAGCCTCAGCTTCGTGGTTCCTATGCATGGACTTTCTGACCGACTACAATTCTTGGGACTTATTCTACGACATGTTCTGGGCAGCCCGCAAGGACTCTAAATACTCAAAACTTACATAAAAAAAACAAGAAAGTTAAACCGTGGATCACAGGTCCCATCAATCAATACCAAGTGCCTCTTCAGAAAGGTATTGAGAAGTCAAGGCCTACAACATTGGTCAGCATAAAAGGACCTCCTTCGAACACTGAAAAAGGAGATACGTGTATCCTACCAGATACACCCTTGTGACACCGCCGCCCAGGCAAGAACATGCCCGAAAGTGTTTCTGGCAGTTCTTCCGCTCCCAGCAGAGGCATAGCACCGCTACCCAACACCACCTTGAGTATGGCCTCTGAAAATTCACAGGACATTATGAAGCTATTCAGCGAATACTTCAGCAAGGTAGTGCCTACTTCCAAAAACCCCTGTCCTAGTGCGCAAGGGGGCAGCCACTCGGCAGACCAGTTGACTCGCACGTAGGCCACTCCTGTGTTCTATCCTCATATTGTGAAAGCAGACGAAGTTGAATCTGCCATCTCCAAGCTGAAGAGCAGTGTCTCACCCGATCCAGATGTCATACCCCCATCACTGCTCAAGGCCTGTGCCACTGCTGTTTTCCTTCCTCTGGCCAATGTGTACAACAACACATTTTCCCGGGTCTTCATCCCTCAGGAGTGGAAAATAGCACACGTGATCCTTTTCCACAAAGGGTCAGGTAAACCCTTGGATGCTCTTGAATACTACCGTCCAATTAGTCTCACCTGTATTTTATTGCAAAACTTTTTTGTCTAATTTGTTGTAAAATTTCCGAGCACATTGAACGATCAATCTCTTCTGCATCACCCAACACGGCTCCAGGAAAAAAAGAAGTTCTGAAACTTTACATTCCATCCTGAACCATGACCTGAGTGGTGCAAACCGCTCTGTAGCCCGATCATCGAAGAACATGGCAGGGCAGCACTGAGCATCTCGCTTGATTTTGTTTCTCAACACTCATTGGGGGAACTCAGAAAAACGAAAAAGAAGCACGAGGAACCTTCGTGAGCCCTCGTCAGCTCCAAAAAAGCTGACGTTCTTTTTCTGGATTTCTCAAGTTCTTTTGACAGCACTAGCCACAACGTCACCTCAGCTCCCGGGATTCGGCGTATCTGGGACGACCCTGAAATGGACTTTCTGACAAATCGCCGCCAGCGAGTTTGCTACCAAGATGCCTCTGGACAGTGGCACGATATGAAAGCTGGTATGCCACAGGGATCCGTGATTGGGCCGCTTCTGTTTAACATGCACATTAACGACCTAGCGTCTGACATTGAATCAAACATCCTATGGTATACTGACGACCGCATATTTTACCACACCATCCAGTCCACTAATGACCGGCGGATATTGCAGTCGACCTCCTCAAGATTTCCAGGGTGTCTGATAGTAATGGCCTGTTACTTCATCAAGGCAAGTCAATGTATTTACAAATTTCTCGAAAACGTATACCGGCCGATGTGACCTACCTGGCTTACGGTAGACGTCTACAGGAGGTCACCGAGAGCAAGCTTCTCGGCGTCAGTTTCGATCGAAGCCTGTCTTTCAGATCACACGTCGACTATGTCTGCAAAAGAGCAAACAGGCTAAGAGAGTTTATAACCCGAACATGAAGGGCCATGCCGCACCACGCCTTCTGCACGCTGTAGACCTGTCTCGTACTGCAAGTCTTGGAATACTGTGCCACCATCTGGGCCGGTTTTCTGGAAGCGATGGTAAACCCATTTTGGTAAACCACGGTGCCTAGAGAGGAAAAAGTACCTAGGTACTGTAATAAACGGCTGGATATAGGACAACAATAATTATTTTTGAATGGGCAATAAGATGCGCCATCTATCGGTGAAACAAGCCAGTCATATTGTTTATTCTCTTTTTCCGCTGGTTGTCATCGATCTAGTATGGTATTTTAAATCAAAATATAGTACTGTTGTACTTGAAGACCAATTTATTTGCTTCCGATAGCACAAAGAAATTTTAGCAACTATGCTACAGTTTGTCGACGAATATTCGAAAATGTAAGAAACATTTCCTTCAATATGTTTCGCCATGAACAACGCATAACTTTCCCGTGTTCCTTCCAGTCTGGCAACCCCGGTGCTGTAGTCTCGTTTTTGTTCCTTGCAACGCACGTTTCTGCGATTCCTGCTGATCTCAACTGTTTGCCCTCTCTTCCGTTTGCCCAACCGGTCCACCGGTGACGAGAAGCTAAGCTTCTCGTCACCGTTGAATGGCTGGCCACCGGGGATATGTAGAAACCTCGATGCTGTCGGCATACTGTCGACATACTGTCGGCGCACCGTGAACAAAAAAAAAAAAACAGTACAATGTCTCAGCTGTGCACCCGGAACGAAGACTTTATTGAGGATAACCCCCTTTCTCCGCAAATTAATCGCTGCTCACGAGTTGGCGTGCATAGTGTAACAAATTAAACGTGTTAGTATAAATATATACCAACATTCGTTCGCAAAACATTTTTTTACTCACCATAAAAACACTTGCAAGGCCTATGTACCGTCATATGTCTTGGATCCCGGACTGCTGAAGAGTGATGCGTTCGCGTAATGTGGCCGTCGGTTAGTTTAGCAGTCCCTCTGAACTATCGCTTTGCTTGACGTGCTAATAGGTTGATGGTGCGTCATTAATATAACATCCGGATCGAAATGAATGTTCAGCAGAACCAAGCAGAACTATTAGCCTTCATTAAGCGACGCCGCTGCCATTTTGCTTCTAGGTACTGCTCCTCCCTCGGCGCCCCTGCTCTCCCAGTCACGTGACCTAGAATTCCCCTTCTAGGGACAATAGTTAACTTACCACGGTTCGCGTTCGAGAAAACGGGCTCTGGAGCCCCCATCAAACCGACTTCCAAAAACGGCTCACGTCCGTATAGAGGAAAGGCTCACAGACTGCTCTGCATATTCAGGATAGGGCATGAAAACTGTAACCTACGAGAGGCGGTTACAGACCCTGTGGTGGCCTCGAATTGACAAATGTAGACTCTTCTCCAGGCGGGTACTCCTGTACAAGTTTTTGCACGGTGACTGCTCCATCCCAGAAGATTACCGGCACCGGTCAAGGCGGGACCCACTGAGGCTTTATCAGCGACTTGCACGCACCACTAGTGCCTCCTCCACCCTCTTTGTCAAAGTCCCCGAGCTATGAAACTCTGTGCCAATTGTTACTAGGAGGGCACAAAGTGTCGCTGAATTCAGAAACTAGGTGCGGTACAGTGATGTGTAAATCCTGTGACCAGCTGTACTTTGTAGACAACCCACCTCACCTGTATGTATATGTTATCATTATTATGTGTTCTTCACTTGTTAAAGTACAGCCGAGGAGGCAGCCAGTACTTGGTTCTTCGGGCTTCTGCCCTTTGGCTGCTTCAAGCTTTCGGCTGTAAGGAAGTTAAGCCAATTAACTCCTTTGAACCTTTGAGGTCTGTGAACGGCGCTTAAAGAGGTACTCCGGCGATTCTTTTGAGCTACCCCAACAAACTATATTTTCGATATCGACGGCCTTTAATCTTCCCAGTATGCTATTTAGTATCGCAAAATTTATACAAGTTATTGTAAAATCAGCAAATGAAAATGACTTCAAAACCAAGATTAAAATAGTCCTGCGCTTCCAATGCTATGACGTCACGGGAAGGCAGGCTGGCGGGTCGAGCGGGCAGTCTCAAAATGGACTTCATCGATAATTTGTTTCGTACTGCTGCGCGGGTGCTGGAGTGAACTCCCAAATCATGCATTTGACACCGTGAAACGGTTTGTAATCAGTTAGGAACAAAGTCTACAGCGTAAAGAGTGAACCCCTGCCTTCCCCTGACATCACTTTTTCATTGTTGCCAGTAGTTTTTCACTTTTAATAATCCGATAAGGACCGAAATTGTAAATGCAATAACTTCGCAAAAAGAAATATTTTCGCCAAATATTTGGGTTATTACTTTAGCGACGTTTGTCGGTGTGTTTAGCACATTTTCAGCAAATCGGGGACTATGAAGAAAACGCCGCAGTACCCCTTTAGCGTACACCAGAGGTTACAACGAACGCGTGCCGGTACGAAACACGTCACAACGAAACGGGCAAGGGGTGGGGATTGCGCCGCTCCAGTTAGCTCAGTTCACAACGATTGTGCAGCTGAGCCTTGCCCGAGCGCTGATTGTGGCTGACGCCATCCCATTTGTTATCCTGTTATCGTGCTGACAGTATGTCTGATATCGACTGCTGTAACTTGCTAACTCTGCTCGGTGAGCGCGTGACTTCGTGGTTTGCAAACGAAGGAGCGGTGGGCTTAAGGGCGCTCGCATTGCTTTGCACGACAACCACAAGGACTGGGAAAAGTGCATCCAATGGGCGAGTCTGTAGAATTCAACTCCCGGAGATCACCGGTGCTTGGTTCAAAAGCCGGAGCGAGCACTGATCAACCCTTGGCCTCCGCCGCTGCAGTCGGTATGTAAAACTTGAGACTCTTTTCAGTCACGCTTGTTTTAATAATTTTACGTTGCGCATCGACTGCTTATTAGACGTACACAGAAGATGCAGAAGAACTGGCAAGGTTTAAACGTCTTGAAAACCCTAAACAAAACTGGGAGAAAAAAAAATACACACATATGTTTCTATGTCCCCCTTTGCCCTTTATGTTAATAATAGCAATAATCCTTTATTTTTATCATGCTTCAGAAACCCATTGGTTACAGTGTGGTGACACATAAAAGTAAAAAAAAAGAAAAAGAAAAACCAAAAACAAGGAAACAGTACGAAATCTCAAACGACATATGCCTTCGAAGTTAAAACATTTCACAAATCAGTAACCAAAAATATGCATATCAAGTTGTCGTTTGAACGCAGAAAAATTTAAAGACGTCTCTACATGAGTTGGAAATTCATTTAAACAAATTTTAATTCGAGCGAAAGGGGAGAGTCTTGTTTGAATAGATGTATAAAACACACTTGAGTTTCTAACGGCACGGGCTGGTACTGTCGTGAGCAAAAGTCTGGATAACACGGGAGCGCCGACCGAATTGCATCGCCGCGCTCCCTGACGGCGCGGCGCCTGGTGCCGAGACCCGCGCAATGCGCACGCGCGTCCTTTCTTATCTGCTGGCCCACTCGTTCGCTCGCTTCTACGCGATGCGCTCCTGGGCGATTAAATGGGCGCTAGGTGCCGCCCCGGCAACCAAGATTCCGAGAGCCTCGCTCACCGCTCGGGACGAGCTGGCGTGCTCCGCGGCACGCGCCGTTCGCGCACATCTTTCCCGCGACTCGGCGACGCGTTAAAAACTGTCGCTTCGCTCCATTCGTTATATTTAAGCTTCCCCCTATATTTGCCCCGGCTACTATGCAAACAGCTGCTGCTCAATTTATTATGCACGCGTTGTAAAGGGTCAAGAAGTCAAGAAAACAACGAGAAAAAAAAAAAACAAAAAAAAAACGGTACTGGCCACAAATTCTCAGCATGGTTGTTCGCGAAGTGACCTTAAAATGTTCAGTTTGACATCAGCTGTGATGACTTGTACCGGAAGTCATAAAAGAAAGCGGCTATGCAACGATTTCCGGACAATGGCCAAATAATTATAGGAGTTGTTCTCCGACACTTCTAAAGTAAAGAACAGAAAAGCGACTTAATCTGTGTGCCCTAATTATAATTTTAAACAATAGCAAAGCTTCAAGTTTCCGGCACCCCTCAACTCTCCGAATGACGTGCTCAGTGTCGTCGACGTGAGGATGCACCGGTTTCCGAGCGCTCTCCTCAAGGATGTTTACTCTTTCTCTCTCTACTGCTCTTCGTGAAGCGTTGAGCTGCCGCGATCCCCGCGTCACTGTCACGGCGCGTTTCCCATGGCCGCCGCGCACGGCTGCAGAGGGGAAATATTTCCATTTCTGCTTTGCGATTACACAACAGAATTGCAACATTTTGCAGGAAAGTGATGCTTTTTCGGTTCTTTCTGACGCTATCAACAATATAAAAATTACAAGCCACCCAAACTGAATCAGCGCCTCTTTTTCCTTCCGCTTTGTTTCTTGTTTTTTCTTGGGAGGGGGGTTGAAATAGTTTCTTTCTTATTTGGCGTTTTCTTTTTGCTCGTCATTCACCACTTTACCGCGCGTGCATGATCACTCGGAAAGAAGTCGAATTCTGCCTCGAGCACGCGAATACAAGTTCTACAATTCATTGCGGCTGCATCAATAGAAGCGACAGTTTTTAACGCGTCGCCGAGTCGCGGGAAAGATGTGCGCGAACGGCGCGTGCCACGGAGCACGCCAGCTCGTCCCGAGCGGTGAGCGAGGCTCTCAGAATCTTGGTTTCCGGGACGGCACCTAGCGCCCATTTAATCGCTCAGGAGCGCATCGCGTTGAAGCGAGCGAACGAGTGCGCCAGCAGATAAGAAAGGACGCGCGTGCGCATTGCGCGGGTCTCGGCACCAGGCGCCGCGCCGTCAGGGAGCGCGGCGATGCAATTCGGTCGGCGCTCCCGTGTTATCCAGACTTTTGCTCACGACAGTACATGAAAGTTTAAAGACGATACAAGATTGCTATCTTTTTGGCCGCGAACCATTTTGTATAAAAATGTAATGTCACGAGAATTTCTTCTTTTTGACAATTTCTGTCGTGAAAATTCTATAAGTATGTATTCATAATCATAATAACATTTTATTTCAAAATATATATCGTAAACAAGGCATTTAAATCACTTCTGAACTTTTTCTACACGTGCAGCGTCGGTTATTGTTCACGAATTCGAGACTGAACTACGAAACTGGAGTTTAACTCGTACTAGGAAAGAAAACAATCGAACTACGCACATTATATTTGAAAAGTCGTGCGTCAAACGCGATATCATCCCTATTGTTCTAAAGGCAGAAACAACAATTAGTGTAGCATGAAATGAAACGGTAAGATTACTAACAAAATAAACACCAAGGTAACGAACTTGTTCCACACGTTCAATAGTAGAATTGCCGATAAAATATTGATGTAAAATGCTTTCGCATTTTCTACACACAGACAGCACTTTTGTTTTATCTGGATTGACCAGCAAAACGTTACATGAGCACCAGCTTGATATACGTGATACGTCTTCTTGCAAAAGAGCACAATCATTTTTGGAGTGGATTCTAAGATGAAGCTTCATATCGTCCACAAATGAGAGCAGTTTCGCATTTCGTATGCACAATTCTATATCACTGATGACTATAAGAAAAAAATAGCGGCCCCAAATTCGGTTCCTGAGGGAACCGAATTTGGTTCCCTCAAGAACCAAATTCATCTGATACAATACATCTGATAAGCTTATCCAAGATTTCTACTCTACTCTTCCTATCAGACAGATAACTATGAAACAATTTTTAAAAAAGACGACTAAACGCCGTATAAAGAGAGCTTATACAAGACTAAGTCATAATTTACCTTATCAAAGGCTTTTGATAAGCCAGAATACACAAAATCAACTTGCCCACTTGTAAGAACAAAATGGGACAGTTCAATGAAGAAGAGAAGAAAGGATCGTTTCTATATGAACGCCCTTTTATAAATCCATGCTGAAGAATGCTTAGCTTTTTTGACTAAAGTAAAACGAAAGACGGGCATGTAAAACTATCTAAAAAAATTGGAAAAAGAACACAACAAAGACAAAGGGTGGTAGTTATCCACCCTAGACGGGCGTCACCGGCTTTGTGTATTGGCAGTACCACTTACCTTTTCCAAAGACATTGGAAAGCACCATTTCTCAGCGATAGAATAAATATGTGCATAAGTAAGGAGGCAGGCAAATCGGCACATCCTTTAATAATAAAGCTAGGTAGAGTATCAGCCACCGCTGACTTCTTTGGTTTCAATTTTTGAATTGCCTCTAAAATTTCATTAGTATCGACCTCACTAAATGTGAAAATCTCGTTACAACCAGTAGCGCAGATTGAAGACTTCCTACTGAATTCTTCTTTGGAATAGCATTCGCGAAAGTAATTTTGGAATATGTTAGCGACTTTTTAAGAATTTGTAACGTAGTCCGGTATCAGTACGTAAATAAATATTTCTTGCTGACTCTTTCGATCGTGTGCTTCCTCAAGCCTGACAAATCGCCAGAATTTATCAGGTTCACGGTAGAGACTATTTTCCAACAATTTTTTAATAAATGTATAATACGTTTTCCGTTTTTTTTTTCTTTTTGGTTCCTGGGTCCCTGGTTTTAAAGTGGGTAAAGATAAATTTTCGTTTGCTTTTTTTGTGTTATGCCATGAAAATCGCATGTTATATTTTTAGATCTCAAATGAAGAACATCGATGGAATAGGTTAAAGTGTCCAGGCTGTAATCATATTTAAGCGTCTACTTTTTGTGCGGTATCCACGTCTCTTGGGGTTCGGGCAAGCCAGCGGGCACAGAAGAGAGTAACTAAATACCAGTGCGTCATATTTTAACCGGACGACGCGGAAACCTTCTCCACCTACGAGGGCGACCCGCGGTGCCGAAAGCGCGCGATATGTGAGGTCTTTGGTCCTGGGCTTACTACTTGTCAGAGCCGCTAAAAGCTTCTCTCTAGTCGAAATACAGAACATGAAAGGCGCGAACCGTTTCAGTTTTTTATAAAAGTGGTTTTTGTTCAGTATTTTAGATCAGAAAAAAAAAAAACAAGTGCAATGTATAAAGTACGGAAACAAGAAATGACCCGTCGACATACCCGCCACCAAGCGGTGGAAAAGGCGGTGCATACTAGTTAGGTGCAGTGGGATCCGAAGGCCATCGGCGAGGAGATTTGGCTTGCGGTTCGAACGTTTGGCGGTATGGCAGCGCGAAGTGACCCTTTTCTGAACTGATCTTTACCCCGTGTTTGCGGTCGTTTGTGGCCAATGAAGTGTCATGCCTAATTAATGTTTAATCGCGCAGCAAATGCAATGGGAGCCGCTCTGGCTGCCCGCTTCGTACATACTATTGAGAACATGCTCTAGTGGCGGCCTCTCGAGCTGTCGGCACAAAGTGCGGCAGCCGTGAGCGCTCGCTGTGCTCACTATCCCTCCTCTAGTTCACGGCCATTCAAGCGGCCGAGGGCGTCATGAAGGAAGTTATTTTTTGCTTGTTTTTTTAATTTTGATTTGCCTATAACTTTTAAAGCGAAATTTGAGGAAAAAAGTTTCATTAAGTTACTACGTTTAGTGCGCTTAGGTTTGGTGCAAATTAAAAACCAGTAATAAGTCCTTGCAGAGCCCGTTTAAAGGGGCCCTGCAATCACATATAAGCGCTTACCTTTTTTGCAGTTTCCACGTCCCTTGGGTTTCGGGCAAGCCAGCGGGCATGGAGAGAGTATCAGTGCGCCATTTTTTAACCGGACGACGCGGAAACCTCCTGCACCTACGGGGGCAACCTGCGGTGCCTAAAGCACGCGATATGTGACGTCTTAGGTCCTGGGCTTACTGCTGGTTAGAGCCGCTAAAAGCATCTTTTTTGTCAAAATATA